TAAAAATAAATAAATAAAATCTTTAAAAAAACCCACTTCTGCACATTCTGTCCAGAAGAGCGGTGCATCGGCCACGAGGTCACCTGCAGTTTAGCACGAGAGTAAGTGACAAGGTGAAGGGAGCAGGACGGCCCCCTGGGAGTCAGGTCGTGGGAGGAGGGCGCGGAGGACGGGGCTTCAGCGCGGGGGGCTGGAGGCTCGGGAGGGTTTGGGCACGTGATGCAGGACGCAGGGAGTTTCTGGGCTGTGTGGCGGCGGGGTGCAGAGAGGAATGGAGTGAGCAGAGGCGTGGACGCCCAGGAGCCCGTTCCGCTTGGGGGCGTTGGTCGGACACCTGGTGGGCGTCTTCCTCCTCTCCGGCTGCAGGCGTGGAGAGTAGCTTCTCCCACGGAGCCGGGCTCGGGACCCTCTCTGAGCCCCAGGAAGCCATCACCATCCATCTGAGCTGACCTCGGGGTTGAAATGCATTTTCCATCCAAAGGCAAGGAGAGCGTGGGGAGGGGCGATGGGTCCGGTCTGGCCGCGTGACGGACGGTCTCGGTGACACCCCAGATGGAGTCACCGCCGCGGGTGCTCGAATGCACCAGCTCTGTGTTGCGCAGCGTTCCCTATAGGCTCCGTGCGGACCCCACGGGCCGGGCACTGCGTTTCCACCACACACACACACACACACACACACACACACACACACACACACACACACGGTGACTTTGTCCAGGGAAGCCACGGGACTTTCCCACGATGGCACCCGCAGAGCGGCGGACTGGGGACTTATTCCAGGATCTGTTGGATTCTAAAGCCTGTGTTCCCATGGTAACGCTGGACAGGAGTCCCCGTCCCCCACCCCGCAAAGAGGCAGAAAGGGGGGGCCGGGCGGGGAAGGGCGGAGAGGGAGGGAAGCCGGTGAGACTGAGCCCGCGGCGCGGGCGCTGTCCGGAGTGCTGAAAACCCGGGCGCGCTGGCGGCAGCCACAGACGCACGAGCTGCCCTTTTCAGAACATCTTCCTTCCGCGTCCTGGCTTCACGCTGGCACGTCCCCAGGGTGTGCACACCATCGTGTCCACGCAGCCTCTGCCGGGCGGGGTGCATGCTCCGTGGAGGCCAGGCGTGCCTGTCTGCGTGCAAGGCCCAGAGGCAGGGTCCCACGGGCGGCGGGGGTGGGGGGTGGGGGGGGTCACGCAGGGAGAAGGGGCCGGGAGGACCTGCGCTCTGCCGCAGAGGCGCCGTCCCTGGGCCCGAGAGCTCTCACCCTGCCCTCCCCGTGAACTCGCCGCTTTGGATCTCCTCCTGCACCGGGAGCAGCTCACGGCCGGGCGCACATGGCCCGAGATTTAATTACAGGGAAGTGCCATACAAACACCTGGGGTCAGCCTGCATTTTCCAAGACCACACCAGCTACCCGTGGTCACGCGTGGCTTCCACGCTGACGGGGCGCCCAGACCCATGGGGTCACGACCCCCCACCGGGTCTCCTAATTGAACCCTAACTGCTAAGGGCCCCTTCCCTTCTGCCCGCTCTGCACACGGGCGTCAGACTAATGTGAGCCTGCTGTTTCCTCTGCTCCAAGCGCTCAGCACGCTCTTCCCGCAAAGACAGGTCACGCTGGGGTGGCAGCTACATGCTCTGTCCTCAGGGTCGCCAACCTCACCCTGCCCAGGCAGAGGCCCGGCTGCACACCCCTGGCTCCCGCCCGGCCCCCCAGGGATTCCTGGAAGATGCCGGCTCCTAGAAAAGGCCAAGCCTGTCGGATGATTCCCTCGACCCGAACTATCTCCTCTCGGCCTCCGTCTATTCAACAATCAGCAACAAATACACTTGATCTAAGGGAACTTCCTCTAAGGCTCAGGGCATGCCCCAGACCGCCTTCAGGAGACCTCTGGTGCCCGCAGCCCTCTCCTCTCCTGCGTCCAGGGTTCCAGACACTCGTCTGAGGCTCGAACCGACGTGCGCGCACACACCTGTGTCTTCTCTTTCCAACCAGAGTGTGAACTTCTGAAGGACGGCAACCCTTGCTTTTGCCACTCCCAGCACAGCACCTCGGCCAGTATCTGTTGGCTTACGTTGCCTTTCGTGCTTCCGCCGCGGGCCCGGCAGGAAAGCCTGCAACCTAATTGCAGCAGGTCCGACCGAGACAAGAAATAGCGAATACTGAGAATTGCGGATCGTGGAGGCCGCAGGTGGCTCTCTTAAGAGGGGAGTGAAAAATCACATCTAATTACCTGTGTGTCGTGGAACAACCCTTCGCTCTGAGGAACTGGGAAGGGGGATTTATTACGCAGTATATCACGCCTTTCCTGGTGACAGGAAGGATTTCAGCTGCCTGGAAAGTAACGCCAGGCAATGTTTCATCGTGAGACCACAAATACACCTTGGCTACACGCTGCAGTGTTAGAAATTAACATTCCCGTTTGTTTGCTAGAAGCAAAGTTCTCTGCTGTGTCTTTGGTATATATCATTCCACTTAATTTTTAAAATGTGCCTATAATGTGGGCATCGTTGTCATTTTTCTTAAAATATGGAGCCCTGGCTGGGTGGCCCAGTTGGTTGGAGTGTCATCTCAATACACCAAAATGTTGGGGGTTCAATTCCCAGTCAGGGCACATGCCTAGGTTGCAGGTTCGATCCCTGGTCGAGGTGCATACAGAATGCAACTGATTGATGTCTCTCTCTGTCTCTCTCTCTCTCTCTCTCCCCCTCTCGTACCCCACGCTGACCGGTCCCTCCCCCCACCACCTGCTTTAGCACCTGCCGACTGACATCACAGGGGTCGGTGAAAAACACCTGAGGCCTAGTGGCTCCCCCAGGTCAGAAACCCTTTGCCTTATCAAAGGAAAGATTTTGCCAATGTTGGGAAATGATTCAATAACTCATCTTCCAAAAGTGATTTTGGGATGAAGAGGGAGAGGGGGTGCGGAGCGAGGCCGTTTCTGGAGACACAGCATCAGTGACACGGTGACAGCAAGGCTGGCCGACTCCCTCGCCCACCAGACAGTGTTCCCGGTCGGTCCATGTAGCAAGTCGTCCGCTACACCTTTCACCCGGCCCAGGGCTTGGGAAGAAAGCACGTGAGCGCAAGGATACGTCTGCTCTTCGCGGCTACAATGTGCCCCAGCGGTCTCCCACCCCTCTCATCGCAGGGCACACATACACCAGTCTCTAGCATTCTGTGGCGTGTGCCCCCCTCAAAAAAAAGTATTCTGTATTTGCCGATCTGACAAAAAAATAGGTATCCTTTTGATTTGTTCACACTGGGCGGCTGCTACTGTGTTGGCTGGTGTCATTTGTTTTTTACTGGACAGTCTAAGGGAGGAGAGGCCAGTGCCCCTGCCTAAACAGCCTGGCATTGCGTGTTTGAAGCATGCTTGCGGCACCCCAGCCGACCGGCCCCGATATGACCCCAGGGGCTGCTTTGGGAGCGCAGGGCCCGAGCCAGCCAGGCCCGGGCTGGGGTGCAGCTCTGCGGGGCGCCCGCTAGGAGGGGTCGGGGGGCAGTTCACCGCCCGGTGCCCTCGCTGTCGCCGGAGATGAGGACGCTGTTCTTTCGGGGTACAGGGGTGAAGGTACATGAGTGTCAACCAATAAAAACGGTGGCAACCACGATCACGGTGATTATTTTAGAAACACCCCAAAAGGCGTATTATCTGTGGGCATCCTGCATGGGGGACGGTGACCGTGAGACCGTCACCACGTCCCGCCCCCCGACAGGCCCTTTTGTCCTCGGGTGCTCCCCTGCTTTGGCAACCTCTTGGGCCAAGTTCTCGGAATCTGTTTCTCCCAAGTCCCGGCGGGGCAGCCGAACACTAGCGCCGTGAGGATGGGAAGCGTGACGTGCTGGTCGAGTCTGGCGTCCCAGGGATTTACATGAGGCGGCACGGGAGAGCCGGCATCCGCCGTAAATCGTGCCGTTCCCAGGGGAGGTAGATAAATCTCGGGGCACCGTGACGCGCATCTGCTTGAGCAGTAACAGAAGGGCCGGCCGCCCCTGCGCGGAGAACACTGGAGTGTCGGCGTGAAACACGCTCTAGATGAGCGATGCCCGTGGACAACGGAGCCGGGAACCCGGGGGCCGCGTTTCGCCTCGCCTCTGCCGGGATTCCTCTTCATTCGGAGCCCGGGGAAACGGTTTTCTCCGCGTCGGTTTTCCGGAGCCCCGCCCACACGCTGCCTGGACCGAGTGGGGGCGGGGCGGCTGCAGACATTTACGAGGGGCCAACACTCTCCCGTGGGGTGATACGGGTTGGGACCCCGGCTGGTGGTGCCAAGTGTTTGCGGGGAGAACTTGGAGGCCTCTGCCTGGTGCTGCAGGCAATCCCTGAGCGCCCCCCCTTTCCCAGGACACGGAGAGGAACCGCGGGAGGTCTGAGGGAGGAAGATGGGCCGAGGAAGAAGAAGGTGGGGGTGGGGTGACGGGAGGGTGGTGAGGGGGAAGGAGGAAGGAGGAGGAGGAGGAGGGGAGAAACATAACAGAAACACAAACAAGAAAGAGCCATCCTGCCCCGCGTCCCTGGTTCTGTGACTGTCTCTCTCTCCGTGTGTCCCACTCACCACACGGCTTCCCCGGAGCTGAGCCAGGTCTGACGGTCTTTGGGCTCCAGAGAGGACCTCCCCGGGGACAGGCCCCTGGTCACGCCTTTCAGAGAGGCTGCGTGAGCTCGGGGCGCCACCCTGTTTACTACACATGGGGGGGTCTCAGGGCCAGTCCCCCCTGCACTCCCGCAGCTGCTGACCAAGCCCAGCGGCCCGGACCGGAGTGGGGCTGGGAGGGGCTGGCGGAGCAAGGAAGGGGCTTCTCGGGGGGCCAAGTGCGGGGGACTCAAGGGGCCCTGGGGAGGAGTCCCGGAGGCCCCACCCCGAGCCGTCAAAGTCAAGGTGCCTGCTTCCCGCCCTTAAACTTCCTAACAACTGAGCAAGCAGTCAAGCGTTCCGCCGTGGGCGCTGTCCTGCAGGCTTCTCGTGAAAAGAAAAAACGGAAAAGACAGAAACAGAAAAGACCATCTTACCCGTGAGGAATTTTGCTCAGGACATAGTAGCCAGTGTAGGAGTGCTGATGGATCTGAAACAGACAGAAAACAGAGCGGAATGAAGAAGCGTTGGGACAGAGCGGGGGCGGGGGGCCGGGGGCGCGACGGGACTTCTCGGATCGGGGGGCGGGGGACGGGAACACACTTGCGGTGGGCCAGCAGCAGGCAGCTGCGCCGGAGCTCGGGGGGCAGAACCGTTTATTTACTGGGAAGTTAATCTGCTCGCCCTATTCCGCTTTCTGCCTTTGCCCACCGTGTGCTGGGCACTGTTTGTCTCCATGGCGACCTGGCTAATTACATCAGGGGCCCACAGTCCAGCTCCGTGCCGTGTGGTTCAGAACTAATGAGGACACGGTGGCCGTCGGAGGTTGACGGAAACCCGTGCACTCGGGGAGTTTTCTGTAAACAACAGCAAATTCCCGGCGTGTCCTTGGTGAGTGGCAGGAATGGACCGACACGGGATGCCTGGGGCTGCGGCTGTGCCTCTGTGCAGTCGGATGGGAGTTGTATCTAAACGGACAGCTCAGGGCGAGGCCGTGGGCGGGGGCGGGGGCGTGGCTTCCAAAACGAAGGTAACAAAGTAGCCAGAAGAGTGTTTCCCTGAGTCCCGTCATCCCCCCCACCCCAATCTTGGCTGCCCCTGGGGACCCCTCGAAGGCCACGTTCCTCCTCCCTTTCCCGGTGTAACTCCTGCCAGTTGGCACCGAGGGTGAGTGGGGGCTCAGGGGCACGCACTGGGGGCCCCCCCCCTTCTAAGGACAGGGGCTGACACACAGGGCACCAGAGAAGAGAGATCCCACGCAAAGCGCGTGTCGGAGAGGGGACGCGTCTGGTGCCCGGACAACCGAGTCTTCGGGGATGGAAGTGCAGCCCAAGCGAGATGTGATCCGGGGTCCGTCTCTGTCTAGACGCACTGGCCATGGCCTGACGGAAGGGCGTATCTCCTAGCTCTCGAGTGGCAAGTCCAAGCTGATGGCTGTGGACCGAAAGACCCGGGATACCGACAGATGCGATACACAGGCAAAGCCAGCAACACCCGCTGTCTTTCCTGGTGAAAGGCTCATTTCTGTGATTTATCCAGATGCGGCGATCTCCACTCATCCTCTGGTCATGCCATTCGCAAACCCACTCCCACACTCATCCCCCTGCGTCCCCTTTAGGGCCCCCAAGCGACCCTCCGAGTTGGCCCCGTGGGTGTCTTCCGAGGGGAGCCGAGGAGAAGCAGGGACACAAACTAAAACAACCTCGTACGGGATGGCGGGAAGAAGAACGAAGTATCCATTTCTAGTTCTCGGTCTGTCTGTGGTCAGGCAAAGAGGAAAGGAGGCCCGAGAGGATGGGGAGAGTGTTACAATATCTGGAAAACAGAACCACTAACTGCCCGGATTCAAAGGAAAACGAGAAAGCGTCAAGAAGCAGAGAGACCGAGAGGACACCCGAGAGGCCGGATCTGCAGGGCGTGGGTGTGCCCAGAGCCTTCCAGAAAGAAACTCCGTGCAAGAGGAAAACCTTAAGAATGAAAGCGCCGCTATGACCGGCTCGCGCCTCCTACAAAAATGGGGACATGGAAGGAAGAGGAAACAATGTCCTCGTTTCCAGGATGAAACAATCTAACAGCCTCTCCCACAGAGCAGCCCCTCCCCCCGGAGCCCAAAGGCCCAGACGCGCAGAGAGGCAGCCAGACTTGGAGGTGCACACGTTTGCACTTGCATTTGCACTCGCATTTGCACTTGCATTTCACGACGCCTCCTCTCGGAAGGCTCTGGAAAAGCTGCTCTGCCCGGAAAGGGTTCGCTCCTGAGAAAGCCCGACGTCTTTCCTTTGTGGCCTCTCTGCATCTATTGTGTCTGCGTGTCTGTCTTTAAAACAGGCCCCGAGCGCTTCTGATCGTGGGGGGGTTGGGGGGGGAAGCTACGCGTTGGCGCGTTCGCAGAACGGTTGCTGTTCTAAGAGTGTGTTTTCGAGAGTTCGTGAGTTACTTTGGTTTCTTCCCACACCAGCGGGTTCCCCGGGAAATGAACCACTGAGATCCCAGCTCGCGGCACAGCCAGACCCTGCCTGGGTCTTCATCTCCTGAGCCACCCCTGGGTGTCCCTGGGCACTGCCCCCGTGAGCCGACGCGTTGCCCACACAGCGTAGCTTCCCGCCCTGTCTCGGTCCTCGCTCCCACGGCGGGTGGTCCGGTGATGAAATCTAAGTCCCGACAGGGAGGCTGAGTGACGGGGGAAAATCTGGGGGAGCCAGCCGGTCCTTCCCGGGGACGGGTCCTCCTCTCTCAGGCGGAAGGCCATGGCCACCCTCGCGCTCCGTCACTGAACTTGGCACGCGCACCTGCGGAGCCTGCCAACTTCTCTCATATCCTTTCCATGGAGTCAGACCCCTTGTTGTAATGGCTTTTAAAACGGTTTTTCCAGAGGACCCCGAGTAACTAACTGGGCACGCGTGGAAATTTTTGGTAAAGAGTCAAGATGTAAGAGAACTATTAGGAGAAGACTCAACGGAAGAGGAACATTGTTGGTCTCCCCGCCCCCACGGTCGGACGACTTTCCTTCCCAGCAGGGCGGGACCTGCCGTCGAGCCAGGGCCACCGTGCTGTCACCGCGGGTGAGGTGTCGTGTCGTTTACCCCTCGTGGCTGAGCCAGGCTCGCTGTGCACAGACTCCTCATCTGCTTCGCTGCCCCCCACCCCCCCACTGCTGGCGGGCGCTGGGGCTGCCCGCACGCCTTGGCCGCTGTAAACAACGCTGCAGTGAGCACCGGAGTGCAGGCCTCTTTTCACATCAGTGTTTTGGGTTTCTTCGGGTAAACCCCCAGAGGTGGGATCCCCACGTCATAAAGCTGAAGTTCCACTTTGCCGTTTTTGAAGCCCTCCGCTGCGGAGGCCGCCACCGGTTGCATGCGTGACCCCCTTGCATCACTAAGAGGTTACGTGCTCTCTGGCTCCGTTTAGGTGACGTTCTGGAAATGACACAACTGTGGGGGTTGGTAACAGACGGCGGGGCGCCGTCTCCTCGGCCAGCCACCCTGGAGACTGTTGGCGACGACAGACGACGTCGGCGTTTTTCCTTTTTTGTCGAGTTTATTGGGGTGACTTCGGTTCATAAAATCACGCCGGTGCCAGGGGTGCAGTTCCGTGACCCATCGTCTGTCTGCCTACCGTGTGTTCCCCACCGCAAGTCAAGTCTCTTCCCGCCCCGTTCCCCACCCCCTTACTCTCTTCTCCTCCCCCACCCCTCCCCCTCCGGCGGCCGCCACACTGTCGTCCGTGTCCCCGAGTCTTTCTCTTTTCTTTGCTTAATCCCCTCACCCTGCTCACCGCCCCCAAGCCCCGCCCTCTGACCGCTGTCCGTCTGTCCCGTGTCTCTGACTCTGTTTCTGCTTTGCCCGTTAGTTCCTTTCATTCGTCAGGTCCCACGCGTGAGTGAAATCACACGCGTGATTTCGTCTGTCTCTGACTGGCTCATTTCTCTTGGCACAGTGTTCTCCAGGTCCGTCCGTGCTGTTGCAAAGGGTGAGATTTCCTTTTTTTTTTTTTTTTTACACAGCTGCGTACTATTCCACTCTGTAAACGCACCACACTTTTTCACCCACTCGTCTTCTGACAGGCACTGGGGCTGCTTCCCAGTCTTGGCGATCGTAAGTAACGCCGTAACGAACATACGGGCACTTCAGGGTTTTTTTTGTTGTTGTTATTCGGCCCTCACCAGATGGATACTAGCTGAGCTACAATACCAGGTTTCTTTGTCTTCCGTTTCGAAGATGATAATCTGTTTCTCTCCTAAGCCTCTATTGTTGCTGACAGCAATTCTGTCTCCGATCCAACTTTTGTTCTCAGACAAAGCCCGATACACGATAAAGACCCCCTAAGTTCTGGGCGTCCTCCTTTGCTTTAAGAAGCACGCAGATTCCTCTGGCTCGCTCTAGGCACCGCACGCTGAGCCGGGCACCAGGATGCACCCGAGGCAGCGGGCGCCTGACCCGCCGGCCGGCGCCCGAGTAACACGGGGTGGGGGGGGTTGGCAAGTCTCGCCTGGAACCGTGTTCTGTGGTTGCCAAGGCGTAACTGCAGCCTTTGTCTGCCATGGCGGCGACAATCTATTTATAATGCTGCTAATTTCATGCACTAGTGTTTTGCTCTCGGAATCAGCGACAGTGACAATGCCCCTGGGTGGCCAGTTGGAACGCAGGCGATAGTCAGGGTGCCCGTGTCACCGTGTCCGGGATGCGAGCCACGGCTCCAGGGGGAGGGGTGCCATCAATAGCCCCCGCTGACAAAAGTGTCTGCTCTGCGCGCCTGCAAGTTCAGCGTTACAGCGTTTCCATCGGTGCGTGTCCGCTTCACCTTAGAAAGAGGGTCGGACCTCGGGGCGAGGTGTTGAGTGACCGACCACCGTCTCTTGGTATACAATCCAGGGCTTGGGAGTCCGGTGTGCTTGTGAAATGCAAGCACCGTCGCGTGGGCCAACAGACCGTGTGGGTCTGTGATGGCTTCTGGGTTTGAAAGAATCTAAGCATAAAGCAAGGACCCAAGGGGGCTGCTCCCTCCTAACTGTTGGTGACAGGTTGAGCTGTGGTGTCCTCCAGAAAGATGCATCGGCGTCCTCACCTCCGGGACCGCCCACCGTGGCTTGACTCACAGAAGGAAGCAATCACGTTAAAACGAGGTCCCTCGGGTGGTGTCCTGATGAGAACGGGACATTCAGACCCAGAGATTTGGGACAGGGAGACGCCGCGTGCGGCTGGGGGCAGCGACCCGGCACCCCGTCCCCCACGGCCTCAGAAGGAGCCACGCGCCCCCGCCCTGACGGGGGACACCCAGCCCCCGCCCTGACGGGGGACACCCAGCCTCCAGAGCGGGAGACGCGCCCTTCTGTGGTGCACAAACCCAGCGGGGGACCCTGTGACGGCCGTCCCAGCAAACGAAGGAACTGCTGGGGTTGTGCGTGACTCACGGGGCGGTCAGCCACGAGACGGGCACCCCCGTCTGTCCATCCGTGTCTCTCATACGTGTCCCTGTCCCTCCAGCTGTCGC